CGGCCCACCACGGTTGCGGCATCTCGCCTGCCACGCCTCCACGCCGCCGTCTCCCGTCCGCCACCTCGCCTTTTCTTCTGCATCTAGCCGTCGGTCCTCCGCGAACGGCCCTTCCCTCGCCTCCTTGCTAATTAGTCCGTGCGAGAGCGAAGAAGGTGTCTCCCCTATCCACGAATTTCAGCAAGCACTCAATCTACAAGCTCACCCGTACAGTCGGTGCTCCGTACTTCTACATCCTTTCATGGTACGTGTCTGCCTTCTATGGAATTTAGTGAGAAAAAAATTGAGCCCATCCATGGAGCTATGTAATTTGAAGTGGGATGCGGCCCTGAGTTTTGTTTTTCCTCTGATGTTCGAGGAACTGAAGAAATTTCAGTGAGAAGGAAGCATGTGCGCGTGTGTGGTCACTGCTATGTTCCCATTCGAGTTGTGCGTATGCGCTGCTGCATCCAGATCCATCCTCAATGGAGGTTTGCTGCCAGGTATGACTTCAATGCTGAGGCTAATTGACTTTGATGGGATCAGGGGTTTCCCTGATTAGTTGGTCCCTTGAGTACCAATGGCTTCCTGCGCTTGTTGAATTATGAGATGTGTTTGGTTGGGTTGAATCAAAGGAATTTCTAGTTCTTGTAAGTAAGAATTACTGAAGACTACTTGGTATAGTTACTAGTTCCTCTTGGTTTTGGTTGGTGCTCATTACATCTAGTTGAATCAATGAAAATAATTGAAGTTCTAAAGATTTTTTTGTCACTAATGGTATGAATTTAGGATCCTACTTTTCAAAACTCCATGGATCTGTAGTCGATGCAACTTGATCCATCTATTTATTGCTTAGACTGCATTTATCATTACGATACCGCTCGTTGGAACTGCTACTCAGTAGAGCTCAATTTTGTCCGTTTCCTCTCTTTTCTAATCGAAAGATATGCAAGTTAGAATAGTTTGCACACTTGTTATATATAGTTGCACAAAGAGGAATTACAAGCTTCACAGAAAGCAGTACATAGTTGCACACCTAAGCATACATAGTAGCACATTGACTGCCAAGTAGTTGGTCAGGGCAGCCGCCGAAGTTGCACATCCTACTCGTAGGGGTAGTTTGTGAGCAGGTGTCCACAACACGCCTACATCAGTGGTCAAGGTCTGACTGCTAGATCCATTGTGGCTGGGTTAGTAGGTCACCAGGGGAGTCCTTGGTCGTGGAGTCGGAGTAGCACCTCCACTACCTCCTCCAATTCCTTTTTTCCGGTGATGGAGCTGGACCGCTATGGTCATTAGGAAGCCACGCAAAGTCGCACAACCATGCTTTCGTAGTTGCACATCGACAACCAGACAATTGGTCAGGGCAGCCGC